TATTCTCCATTATCCTTTTCTAACATTCCTCCAAGGTTTTATTAGCTCAATCAATCATAAACACACAAAAACACAAAACATAGAAACATAAAAAACCTCTTTTCTGAAAGTTGCTTAGTCCCAGGTTAAAACTCTTCGTACAGACATAAATTCAAATTCATATTCATTTTATATACCATTCCATATCTTATTAGCATTTTCAATTTTCTATATAGCTTCTCCTCTCTTTTAAATTTTCTTAATTTAATTTTATTTATCTCATCTCAATTCGAATCATAATATTTATTATTCTTTGTCTGTTCTATTTCCAGCTATCCATTTATCTTTCTTCTTTGAAGAAAACTTCTCCTGTACACTAATTGGAGTATGACGCCTTTATCTCTTTCCCCTACATTTATAATACTTAATATAGAATACATAGCTTACATTGGGATTCTGTTTGGTACATTCTAAAGTTATACAATATTATCAATACCAATACAAATCTATTCATTAATATTAATATTCATTTATATCTTAAACACTTAGCACATTACTTTCAATTAAATCACATACTTTTATGGGAGCACCTACTTTCCATAGTTATTTCCCCCCCCCCCCCACATCACATATTTTAAATCATTATTTCATTAAAATGTTCCCCCTTCTCCTACTCCAAATCTCTCCTTTCACAAAAAAATTCACTAGGATAACATAGTCTAATCATTAATATTAACAATCATTTATATCTTAAGCATTTCACCCATTTCAGTTAAATATCATGCCTTTATGGGAACACTTATGCTTTCCATAGTTATTCCCCTCCCCCCCCCACATCACATATTTTAAATCGTTTCATTAAAGTGTTCCCCTTTTCTTGACAAAAATTTCACTAAATTATACTATTTTATCACATTTTAAATTGCATATTGTTTCCAATTTTCTATGATTATTTCTAAGTACAAATGTAAAAATACAATCTTGTGTACCTTTCCAGAATCCCTTTTTCAATAAATTTTACCCATTATCTCTAAAAGACTTTTGTTTCTTTGCATCCTGCTCCCCACCATTGAGGCTTCTCGTCCCTTCCTTTCTCCCTTGCTTATTCTTCTCCTTGTCTTCTTTACCCCCTTGTCTCTCCACCTCCCTTTTATTCTGCTTTCCTCCTTTCTGTTGTTTTCTAGCATAGTATCCCCTTTTCACCTTATTCTTCTCTTTTTTGGTTATTTTTCCAAGTCTTAAAGTCTTCTTTTCCTTTTTCTCTTTCTCCTTTCCTTCCCCAACCAAAGTCACTTGTTCATCAAAAATGGCTTCTTCTTTGTCCCAGTCATCCTGTTGCGCATTCAGCTTTACATAAGTACAAACCGCCATTTCTAAAAATTGAAAAAGAGTGCCAAGAGAATCCTTCCCTTCTTGCTTTTCTTTTTCATATTTTTGGTATACAAGTTTCAATCCATCCACAAGTGATGCCATTGTAGAGAGAAAAAGTTTTTCCAAACAACCACCCAAGTGCTTTTAATCAGAGATAATTCTCAGAAGTTCCAAAATCACCAAACAATCCAAACAAGCTGTTTCTTTTAAATACTTTCTCCTTCTTCACTTTCTCTTTCTGGGGTTAAAGTTTAGTCACAAAGTTCCATTTAAAATATATCTTTTAGAAGTCTTATTAATGTTTAATAACTCTTTAGAGTTCTAGGCAATCTTCTCCTTATTTTCAAGTTCTGCTCCAATTTTTTTTTCCTCTCCCTTCCCACTCACAGCAAAAAAGATTCTTTTTTTAAAAAAATGTTCAGAAATCCTTATCCCTTCAGCATTTAATTACCTCCAATGCAGGTCTTCCGATTTCTCTTATGGTTCCATCCGCTGTCACGTTAGGAAGAAGAGTAAAAAGAAAAAAAACTTTCCCTTTTAGAGTTCCATTCGCTGCTTGTAACTCTCTCTGGAAACAATGTATTTTTAGCAACTTTCAAAATTCCAGGGTACTTTCTCTTGCTTTGTCCCGGTCAAAAACCACTTTCACAGCTCTTCCGACTTTCTTCCTCCTGCACAATCTTGTCCGGCTGCAGGTTTCTTCGTGGCGGCCATTACTGACCGCCGCTCCTCCGCCTTGGGAAAAGGGGGTTTTGCCGGCTGGGGAGGGGGTCTGTGACACCCCCAACCCCTATCCGGATCCCCCCTGTCTTCAGCTGCCTCTACGGGGCAGCTATATCCCCCAGATCCAAGCGGATCGGGGGAACCTTGGCAGCGAGCGCAGCAGGGATCGCGCAGTATCGCGAATCCCTGCCGCCGCCGAAGCCTTGCAAACTGGAAGTCAGGAGAATCCAAGTGATTTTATGAAAGAGCTAAGTAGTGTTGTATCTGATTAGAACCTAGATAGGTCCTTCTAAAAACTTTAAATCAATGGTAAATCACTTCATGATGCAGCCAAGAAAATTATATGGGCATGCCCAAACTCATATATTTCTAAATCTGAAGAAGCTAACTCACTTTTCTTTAGTCATAATGGTACTTGTGAATACCTATTTCCTCCTTCATTGATATCATTCAGATCTTCCAGCTCACAAAAGTAGTTTTTCAGGAAGTTACAATGATTTGAAAAGGACAAAAAAAATTAGGAAGGGTTGATTTACAAGTGTGATTTATTTTGCAGTTATCAACATTCAGTTCAAATTATCTCCACTTTCATTTTATTTGAAACATATTGGACCAAAAATAGCTGGTAGAGCATACTGTCATGTACAGCAGATTACAAGACAAAATTTAATTCTGTATGCCTTAAGTTATATTACAACATTTTCCCAATATTGTACCTAGCAAAAACAAAATTTTATATTATTAATTATTTAAAACATTTTTCATTGCCCTGTGTTAAAATTAAATGCACACATGAATTTTGTAAGTGCACCAGTCTTAGTATTCCACAACATAATATCTTCCGGATTATTAGACTATATATAGTAACACGTCAATCAGCATGTCATGTGAATTATAGGAGTTACAGTTCAACTCATTACAAAGCAGTGGGCAATGATGTCTTATTGTAACTGATTTAAAATAGAAACTTTTTTTACAATGGGTTTTCTCTGGGTATTTATAAATAGATTTTTAGGACATTCAACTCAAAGTAAACATTTCTTAGACAAATATTGAGGAGGCTGGGAACAAATGGCTTTCTAAAAATATATAAATTTGTGAGGAAAGAATTGGGTGGTCAATTTTTCTGAATTTTTCAGAAAAATTCAGGAGAAGGAATTCTCCAACGATTTCCCAATGGCAGGAGTCCCAGGAGTTAATACAATCTTCTATCAATCTTCCTTGAGAGGTAACTAAATTATGGGAAGTCAGAGAAGCCAAGGAAGAAATTATTGTACCATGAAAGACAAGAACCTACAGCTACTGCCCCATCATCAAGTAGAAGAATGCTCTACAAAGATTTCATCAAGATTATCTTCTTCTTTGGGAAGATTTCTATTTTTCCCATCAAGTTGAATATACATTGGCAAGAAAAATATTACAGAACATTGTTACTATTGATCAATTTAATATGGCTAGTCATTCCAAAAAATTCTGGGTAGTTTATAATATTCAGTTATGCAATTTAAAACTATGAGAGTTCTTTGAACATTTCTAGAACTTTTGCAAACACTACCTTGTTTATCAAATGTTATATTATTTTATATAGAAAAGTGTAGAATCTTCCAGGAAAACATGCCTTGTTTTTTTTATGAAGTACATTCACTTCATTATTATTTATTAATAAATGTATCCATCTTTAAGAAGCCAAAATGCTGTTTCTTTTAGACAGCTATTTCTCTGATCATTATCTAAAGCTTCAGGCACTGAGAAATACACATACACATTTAGCAATAAAGATTTACTTGATTAATATGCTTTCTAACAAATCAATTCAACTTAATTCTGTTGAAAGCCCCAGCTTACAAAGTATTGTTTAGGTTAAAATATTTATTTTACCTATTTCCTGCACAGAATACTATAGGCCGTAATGAATTATTATGACATACAGCTCTATTTGCATAGCTGAAAGATACAGTTGAATATTACTTTTCTTTCAAGTGGGAACCACCTGACTACGCATTTAACATTTTGCCCTGAGCTGCCTAGCAAACTCATAATCAGGATATTATAATGTGATATTTGGCTTGAAAAAACTTAATGTCATAACCTATAAGCCATGGATAAGCAAATACTACCACAGTTAATAACCACTCAAAATCTGATTTACAGAAACAAACGTACAAGAAAATAAAACTGCAACAGGAGTAACTGAAAACGCCCTTTTTATATTTCTAACTCACTTTTGTTTCCCAAAAACTCTGAATGGCGGATATTGTTCTCTCCCACTCTCTGCCCCTGTCCATGTGATCCTCACATTACCAGAGAATTTGGGCGAGAGTTGCTAACTAGTTCAGCTCCTCAGTGAATTTTGTGGCAAGGCAGCACCCAGAAGGATGTATACGACTACGAAGAAATCAGTTCGTTTCTACTATCCAAGTTAAAACTTTATTATTTTTCCTTGCAAGCAGAAATTAGGTTCTTTATGCTATAGATCGGCATCCACTACACGATCCACAAAAATATAGATCAAACTGGAACGAGAAAATAAACTACTAAATGCATTATGCCATTCTGGATAATAGTTTTAAAAATGAGTTCTACAAAACAAAGGAAAAGGGACTCTCACGCCCGCCTGGATGAGAATTTCAAATTTGTGAGCACCCACAAACTCTACCGTAGTATCTCCTGCTAACTTCACAAGCTCTTAGAGTATAAACCAAGGCTTGATTAACACAGAAGTCTTTACAGAAGAAACCAGGGTGGGATAATATGGTTGTACACATGCTCGAGGAAAGACGGTAGTTGTGAACTAAGTTTCCCAAAAGCCAAGCTCAGTCTTGGGCATTCATCCCGTGAAAGAGCTACACCACACTCTTCTCCGTCTACTCCCATCTTAGCTATTTCTCATTTAACATTTGAAACGTGCAATTTAAACAAAGTCATACCTTTCTCTTGCCCCAAATCTGCAGCGGTTAATTATCCTGAAGCATCACTTTAGAAATTTATGAGTGATTCAGGATTCTTGATATCCCGCGCGGGTTTCCTAAATGTGGAATTGATTACCTTCCGAATTAGAAGCAACACCTCGTCTAGTGGTGGCAACGCCTTCTGGAAAATTGAGTCCTACAACTGTTTTCGAGCTTCCAATGAGCCAGGCGTTTAGGAGAGCTTAAACTACACTACCCATAAGCCCATTCTCTTCACCTGAGCTTCCAAATGAAACCAGGAGAACTGGTTTGATTACTAAGAGTTTCACCTTGGGCCGGAAAGAGAGACAAGGAGAGAATAGCTCAGTTTACATTTTGTTTTGTGTGGAGTTTGTTTACTTTAAACAGGCTTTATCTCAATGAGTATTTAACTACGTATGTATTCTTGCTCTCCCATTTTTTTTTTCTGTATTCTTGTCTCCCATTTTTCTTAGCCTTAAAAATTTGTAGGATATAAAAAAGCCAGGGAAGGTAGAAGTTAACATCTGCCATTACAGAATCTAGGTTTCAAAAATGTATGAAATATAGAAATATAAGATAAAATCTTATTTTTCAAATTACCTGAGAAACTTTGAACTGCGAGCAAGCAGGCAAATTGGGGTAGACCAGCAGCTGTAGAAGATAATATTAGAAGGGGAGAAAATATCTTGTCAGTCTTATTGATTTATTAGGCCTGGTGGGACAGTAATACAGGCACCAGGAATATTGCTGTGTTTGCATACTTTTATTATTATTTTATTAAATTTAAATTCATAAGGATTTTTCCCAGGTAGCTCTAGTCTAGTTATTTCTAAGGCAAGCGCCATCACTGTTCTTGGAAGGCTGTAAGCACATTTATCTTTGTAGACCCTGTTGTATAACAATCCAGATGTACAGCTGGACTGGTGTATTATTCAATAAACCATTGTAATCAGATACATAATAAGGAATAGCATTTTATATTTTATATCCTGCCTTTTACTTTTCATAACTTGAGGTAGCATATATGATGTTTTGCTTTGCTTTGAATTTGCCCCCACAACAATTGGGAAAGAAAGAAAGAGAGAGTGGTCAGTTACCCAGCCAGCTTCCATGCCAAAGGAAGCCATATTCCATCTTTGCTGATTTCTATTGTGGCTCCTACATCAAACTGATATAGTGATTTTAGTGCTTTTTAAAAAAATGTATCCAAGGCATTTTGAAGGCCCTAGGCACTATCCCTATTGTGGGATAATGTGGACAAACTTCTGTGAGACCTGATGTTCTCTATACATGTGGAAGATCTGGTTATTAGTAGGGTAACGAAGAGGAGTATGATATCATAGGAATTGAGACATACATAAATACAATTAGAATCATAATCCTCCTTCCGTTGTTTGGAAGTATAGAGAGAGGGTATTTACCTACTGAAGCTTTATTTAATGGACAATGATTACAAATATTTTGAAAATGACTTTTCCACAGCTTCTGTTCTGCTTTGTCATAGGGTATTTGTCCTGAATTAGATTAGAGACATTCAGTTCAAGATATCATGGCTCTTTTGACAGCACACAAAAGATATAATTATGTAATTTCTGCAGTCATGAAATGATATACAGTACAGTATAGTATGACATTTATTTATTTATTTATTCAATTATTTATTTATTTATTTTATCAAGTGATTACAACAGGTAAAATTATAAACGTGGTTATGAATACATGAAATGGATACATATAAGAAAAATAAAAAGAAACAATAGGACAGGGACGGTAGGCACGTCGGTGCGCTTATGCATATCTACCTATACTTTGATGTCTTGATGTCACTGTGCCCATTGCTTTCCCATCTCTCATGCTCATTATATGATAGCATAACAGTTACAACCAATAATCATTCTGTTGAAGTGCTGAATTGGTAATTGGTAGCCTTGGAAGTTGAATATGGGGTTAATTATTCTATTAGTTTTTAAATGATTTCTGACTTTAAGTATTACACTACCCCTTAATGGAACTTTAGATTAGAATTCTAATTACATTAAATTACATTAAAGTAATGGATTTTTTTCCTAGCATTTTTCTGCAAGTGCTGATCTATTGCTTGTGACAATAATTGTAATTATATTAATAATGCTGAAAGATGATTACACCAAATAACTTTTGAATTCTGGTTTCTGACACAGTTCTTCACAATAGTATCTGGAATGCTCATTCCTGATATTGGCTAAGAAACTATCGTGTGCTTGAATGGATTAATAAGAATATTTTGTAGAAGAACTTACCTTTCAGGCAGTCCGTAACAATACAGGAGTAACTGTCTACTGAATTCTTTATTTTTTTCTTCTTTTGTTAGTCATGAAACCAATTGTGGTTATTATGTTGCTTTAATAGTTAAATAGTTTGAGGTTAGGATAATTACAAAAGAACAGTGAGGCATGAATAAAAAGGTGAGGTCTAAATTCCAAACAAAACAAAACGGATTTATCCAGACACAAGAGACACATAATATCCATCATATTTTTTAATCTTCCAGTTATCATTCAAGACATCTAGGAATATAAGGTTGTAGATAACTATATGTACATACTCTATATACACAGACACAGAGTTCCATTTTACATGTTCAATATTGCTTGGTATCACCAATTCTTACTGGCAAAAACCCAAGGCAACATGCAGCAATTTTTTTCAGCTTTTTCTTTTGAATTCCTTTGGGATGGATGTATTAGGGGCTGAATATGGCAAGTTAGGTCCTCCGTTGCTATAACATCCTTCAAATGTATTCCAAACTTTGTTAACTTCTGTGTCAAAGTATGCTGTCTTTTCTTGGCAAAGGTAAATTGTAAAAAAGGAAAAAAGTGCTGTATTTAAGGACATTAGTTATACATTAACTATAACTATATTATACATTTTAAGTCTTTCTGAGATTTAGACACAGCAAAGTTACCTTACATTGTTTCTTTAAATCAAAGGGTTATGTTTCTATATGTTTACCTAAACAAGAGATTCATTAAATTATTTATAACAACACTGAGCAAAAAATAATAATTAAAAGGGGGAGTAATGACGCCTATTACTATCAGGAGTGGAATCTGGTTGTTCATACTATGAACAAGAGTTACTTAAAGAGAGTGTGAAAGACAGTGTGATTAATCAGCATAAGAACTGTCTCATCATAAGCTTCCTCTGAATCAACACTGCATGAATAACCAATTCTGTGACCTTCAAATTCTGTTTTCACAATCTTTTAGCATTATTTAAGCTCATTGGGGTTATTACAAAACAAGCTTCTGGATGTTACCCAGTCTGCCAGTGCCTAATAAGAACAGTTCTGTAAACCTGATGAGACATTACACTAAACTTTTTTTAAAAATTGATATAGAAGGACAGGATTTGTCTGAGGTTTTTAAGCTTCTAGACAGTTAAATTTAAGAGTACAGAAGTCATTGTAATTTATTAATGTGCTTTACCAGAGACTTCTGAACAAGCGTTTCAACCATGGGATGTGAGAAGTTCTTATGAATCAGTAACTGTAAAAAGAGCAGGAAGAACATAGCAATAAATGGACAGTTCTTTCAAGAATGGCATGCAGGAAGTGTAGTCTCCAAGGATTAGTATAGAAACTGATGTGTCAAATGTTATTAAATGACCTGGAACAGTGAGGTAACTAAGTTTTCAATGTAGTAAAGATAAAAATGGATAGCAAAAGGATCTCTTCAGCAAAATGGTAAACATTCTTAAATGTGGAACGCTCTCTCTGAGCTTCGTTGTTGTTTGCAGACATTTCATTATTCAACTTTACTAGTTGGATGATGAAGCATCTATATGCAAACAACTATTCTCAGAGTACTAAGGACTAGAGCTACATATTTTTTATTATAGATAAGTGTACTATATATGAAGGAAAAAGTATGTACATTGAGCAACTATTCCACACTTTACATACATTTATGAGGCCTAACAAGAGAATGACTACTTTAGGTTGTTGTGGATATGTGAATCAAAATAATGTAGAGTGCTTGGCAACTCTGGAGCTAATAATTAAGATCCTGCTTATCTTCTTAGTTCGGAAGAGATCAGTCAAGTGCTGCCATCTGCTGATACAATATATATTTCTTATTGTGATAACCATATTGAATTGCCACTCTCCTGGATTATGTTTGAAATATTATTTCTCAAATAAAGCCACAAGTAGGAGCTGTTGCAAGGAAACTCTCTTTTTATAATTATTATATTTATAACACTGATATTTGAGACATGTCCGTGAATCAAATTGTTATTGAAATCAATTGACATACTTCAAAGTAAAAATCTACAGGAGTATGTCGATTTCCCAATTTAAAAATCATTTTGTAATAAGATTTTGTGAGAAAAGAGCCATGTTATCTAGTACACAAAAATCAGTAGTTGTCTGTCTGAATTTTTCAGACTAAAGTAATATATTTTATTAAGAAGTGTAAGCTTGTCATTCTGAAAAAGATGTTACTAAATTCTTTCTAATTTTTGTAATATGATACTATCCCAAATATTATTTATGGGTGATAGTAAAATGAATTTTATTTTCAGCAGTGACATTTTATTGTATTTTATTTTATATAAAGAACACTAATTCTTCTGTAAATATCAGGGCAGCATGCAATAAATATAATAAAAATATTTAGTAATAAAACAGCAGAAAGGCAGTAAAAATAGAATTTCAGCACTGAAAGCTAGTAAGCCTTGCATAACCATATTCTCTTCAAAGAATTTGTCATTCTCAACATGACCTTTGTCTGGTATGCAGAATAAGCACTATAATGTACTTATCAGTGCCCTAGGAATCTTTACCAAACTTGATAACAAGGCACTAGAGTTAGTGAACTGCATATTTTTAAAGACTCTGACTGATATTTACCACATATGAACATACAGAGTGGCGAAGTGGAGAACCTAATAGCACCTACTTTAAAAATGCCTCATTATAAGTCATCTGATATGCATCCTTATCTGTTTGTATACTGTTGTTTAAATTCTGATTGATTGTCACTGATTTTGCTCTACAATGAAAAACAAGGAGTGCCTTTTAGATATAAATTTTAACTAACAATAAAATTAAAAATGTAAACATGAGGAAAATTGTATGGATAAAAATTAAACAAATGTTAAGTGGAACATTTCAATGTCAGATATTTTACTTATTTGCTGATTTTCCGCCCCCACCTTCTATTCAATGATGTCTGATTCTTGGTGATTGCCTGG